AAAGTTTTGCCAGAAGCACAATATCTTGGAAATTTGGAAAAGATTATTGTTAGAGATTATTTTCCTGAATTGCCGAAATTGAAGGTTTTTTAAATTAATTGTTTTCTATAAGTTATTTATTGGGATGCAAAATTTCATCACAGTTTTTACGGAAATGTTATGAAATTTTGATTGACAAAACCGGTGCCCACGGTTTTAGGTTTGGGGTTTTCAAGTCAGGCCGACATTCGAGTCATTTTTTTCGGGTCGGCCCGATCGTGTCTTTTGGGCCAAAATTCAATGCCCGCCTCGATCTTTCGGACCGGGCAGGATCGAGCCTCCAACACTACACGGTTTGCGGTTAATCCAAATTTTAAAAACTGTTTGCTGTTTTGAGTTTTTAATTAAATATCGGTTTTTTGGGGGAATTTTTTAAGGGGAAATTCATAAAAAGCGTTAATTTTTGGCAAGAAATGTCAAACTTTTCAATTTCAAAACCGGCAATGCTCACATCCATATTCTAACTCCTTTAAAGACAATTTTGCCTGAAATTTCCCTAATTTTCTAAAATTTAGGCCCAAGCAGAATTTATCGATGCAGTTGCCCGCAATGACCATTTAAAAATTAGAGAATTACAAATTCGTTATAGTACTCGCAGAACTGACAGGTTTTTCTTTTTAAATCTTTCATTCAAAAAAAAATTTTTCAGAAGAACTTCCCCCTCTCAAAGGCCAAACACTTCTGCTTCACTTTTTGACCCAGCAACACCTTTAGAGAAAATAAAACAAGAAGGGGAAGAAGGTGATAAAATACAAGAGACAGGAAATGCTCCTTATGCTAATGAAGAAGGGGATAATGATGCTTTTTTGGTATTTTTTAAAATTAAATTTGAATGGGAAAATTAAAGCTTTGGTTGTTTCGTGTCGGGCTAACTCAACTAACAGACATGTCAAGGAAAAGACAGGTCAAGGAAAAGAAAGGTCAATGAATGACCAACTCAAGGAATATTTTAAAAATTGAAATTTTTTGAAAAATCTGAATATTTTTAGAAAATAAGAATTTAAAAACAAATTAGAACACTTTGAAAATCAGAATTCTGAAAAATTCTGATTTTTAAAATATTCCTTGAGTTGGTCGTTCCTTGGCTCGTCGTTCCTTGATTTGTCTGTTCTTTGAGTTGGTATTTATTGAGTTAGCCCCCACCCGGTTATTTGTTGAATATATTGACAAAACAAATATTTACAGTTTGGCTTAAATTAAATCAATTCACCAACCCTACTCATTTAATAGATTGACTATAAATTGAACCAAAATTGCCTAAAATGTTTTAGAAATAAATTTATTTAGACCTTTAAACCGTTATTTCGAATTTGACCTTTTACCCCCCCATCAGGCCCATAACCAGGCCCCCGAAAAATCTGGGTAATAGTGTCGTTTCCAGTCCCCCTTTTTTCCTTACTAAATTTTTTTCCTATAATTTGTACAAAATGGGAAGACTTTTCCTTCTTCCATCACAATTGCCTTACTATATTCTGCCTACAAACCATCAAGAATGATTATTTTTTATTCAGTTCTTTAGAAAGAAAGAAAGGCAAATGTGATGGAAGGAGAAAATCGGTCCATTCTATACAAATTATAGGAAAAAACTTGGCGAGGAAAAAATGGGGACTGGAAACGACACTATTACCAAAATTTGCTTCTTATAGTCTAAATTCTTTTTTTGATCACCCGACACGTTTCAACATTTTCGGACGTTTAAACTTTATTATTTTAATAATTTCTTTTAAATTTCAGAATGGCAGCAATAAAAAGAAAAAGGATTCTCTTCCCAAAAAAGCATTGGATAACTTTACAGTCCAAACATATTTAGAAAAATATACAAGTGAATATAATGCTAGTTTTGAAGAACTTTTTGAATTGGGGAAAAAACGAGAAAGAGTAAGGGAATGAAATGAAATTTAAAAAAAATTAATTTTAAAGGTTCAAAATGCTTGGATGTATGAAGCAGAAACGAAACATAATGAATCTTTAGTTTCTAGAGACCAGCCAATGTTGGAGGCTGCTGATGAACAATTAGTTGCTAAAAGTAATACGTCAGGTTTGGAATTCTTTTTTATTTTCTAATTAAGGTTGGAGCTAGTCGAAAGGTAGGGAAAAGGGAAGGAAGCAAACTTGAGAACTTTGGAGCCAAAAACAAAAATTGTTAGTAGGCTATCGGATAATTACTAATTTCGGACCTCTTCCTCACAAGGAAACATACCAAACTGTGAGTCAAAATTTTGTATTATTTTTGGTATCAATCAATAGAGCATCATCGATTTATTCTAGAAAATTTTCGGCTTTTTTGGCTAGGAATATTTAACTAAAAAGTTATGGCGCTTCAAAGTTTTCGAAAATTAGGAACGCTTGATAATAAATCGATGATGCTCTATCGGTTGGTACCAAAAATAATACAAAATTTTGACTCACAGTTTGGTATGTTTCCTTGTCAGACTGCATTTTGTCAGTAGACCTGACCATGATTCTTTGTATTTAGTTTTGACTTGAGACTCTTCTTTGGGGGTTTTCAGTCTTCTTTATGAGGTCATTCCTGTCTGATATGCTTTTTTGGGGTTGATGAAAATGTACTTTAGGTATGGCGATGTCTAAAATGATTTTTTTATAATTTTTAACAAACCATTAAATAATTTTTTACAGATGATCAAAGGCCAATAAATGTTGACAATTGGAGCTATAAAGCACGTAATGTAGTTCTTTTCAATCATCTAGACGAAGCACCTTTAACAATGCAAGAACATATTGATAGAGCTAAAACTTCAGAAATACATATAAACAAGAAGGGAACACGTTTTAAACATGAACAACAAAAAGCGCCTGATCAGGTTTTTTAAAAAAATATTTTTGAGCTGACATAAAGTTGTATTAAAGTCTAAAAATAAATTAACAAAATATTTTTTTAATAGATTGGAGATTTTTTTAATTAAAATTTTATTTTAAGGTGGCAATGGCTCGTGCAGCTTTCCAAAATGTTTCAAAAATAGCTGGACATGTTGATGTTACTGGAAAACAAGTTGGGATTGAAAGTAAAACTATTGGGTTAGTTGCTACACCTACTCCAATACCTGGTTAGTTTTTGCTTTCTTTCTAAGATTTTGGGGTTTAATTTCTAAATAATAATAAGGGGGAAATGCCTTTTATCTAACATTAAGTAATTGTAAGATTGACGGTTGTTTAAAATTTTTTCTTACCGGATTTGGTGGGGTTCCTTTCTATTATTAAAATAATGGTCATATTATCCATGACTTGAATGTTACATTTTTCTCAAAAAAAACTATATCTAAAAATCAGATAAACCTAAAATCGGCGAGGTCCATTTAATAACCGGTCCTTGAGCCACACTAATTCCAAAATCAATTGTTTGAATTTAAAATATAATTAAAACATAAAATTTACATATAAATTAAAATATTTTATAGACGAATCTCCATTAATGACATGGGGAGAAATTGAAGGAACACCATTTCGACTAGATGCCCCAGAAATCCAACCACATATAGAAAATGCCCCAACATTTAAAATACCCGAAATGCCTGTTAGAGAAAAAGTAGCTGCACAAATTGCTGAAAAAATTGCTTCGAGTTATAATAATAAAAGAAAATTGGCAATGAATAAAATACAGGAAATTGCTCCGTTGGTTTTTTATTTTTTAAGATTTAAAATTTGTAGTAAATTTTTGGTTGGAGGGAGAAGAGGGGATATTTCGATAACCGACCTTTAAATACACTCCACTCTATTTAAAATACAATTCTCTCAAAGGTGTATCTTATGAGGTTATTTTAGTGTTATTCCCTGTCCCCGAAAATCGGGGAATTTGAGAGATTTTTTGTTTGCGGGTAAAATTTACGGTTTTTCTAAATATCCATAAATAAGAAAATTATTTACAAAAATATTTTTTAAAGAAAAACACCAAAATTCAACGCTTCTTGTCGTTCTGGAACCTCCAGAGTTGGTACAATGTCTCCAGCTGCACGTACTTTGCTTAATGAAAGATTGGGTATTCGATTGGGAACTGACAAATTAATTAAATTTTCGCCTAGTCCGAGAGGGTAAATTTAATTTCTTTTTTTATTTCTTTTTTTAATTTTTTAAAATTTTCGAAAAATCTAATTAAAAAACTCCGAAATTTTTTTTCTGCTTCATTTTTGGACATTAAGTTTATTTTTCCCCTTTATTTTGTCTCTACTGCTTCAAGTTTATTTTTGCTTCAATGTTTAAATATTTAAAAATTAATATTCTATTTAAAAATAATTCTTATTCAATATTTAAGAACACCAACTAGCCGTACAATGTTTAGCCCATCAATATATAAATTGGTCAAACCAAAAAGTGAAGCAAATTCAGGTGCTTCTACCCCCACAAGATTACCTGAAAGTAATAAATCAACAACAACAATTAATGTTACAGATAATCTTTTAAATATTCCCCCAGCAGCTTTTGGGAATGATAATGGTAAGAATTAGTTTTTTTGGTTTAAGATTTAAAAATTTTTTTTTCTAGGTGGAAGTGCTACAAGTAGTGCTGGAGGGAGACCTAAAGCAGCAGATTTTTTCTAATAAATATATATTTAAAAATAATTTTTTTTATTTTTTTAAATATTAAAAATTGTCAATTTAATTGAAAAATATTTAAAATAAAATTTTAAATTTTTTATTAATATTTCTAGGAATTTAATTTTTGGAATTTTAAGGGGTTTGAAATTTTCCTTTTACTTCAAGTTTGTTTCCTTATTTCAAGTTTATTTTCCTTATCTTGCTTCAAGTTTGAATTTTAAGTTTTCAAGTTTATTCTTTTTTAAAACTGTTCTCAAGTTTATTTTTCCCTATCTGCTTGCTTCAAGTCTATTTTAAAAATCATATAATTTAATTGTTCAAAATTTTAACAAAAAATATGCACAATAAAGTTAAAAATAAAGTTCTCATTAAATACAAAAATTAGAATCATCACAATATTTTTTTGTTCTATTATGTACTCATTAAACGGTGGGTAGCTCCACAATAGCTACTACTGTTTATTGAATCTGTAAAAATAAACTTTAAAGTTTTTGCTTCAAGTTTCTAGTTTATTTTTCCTTTTGCTTCAAGTTTGATTTTTTAAGTTTTCAAGTTTATTTTCCTTACTGACTATTTCAAGTTTATTTCTTTCAAGTTGTTCTTCAAGTTTATTTTATTTTTGCTTCAAGTTTAATTTTTTTGCTTCAAGTTTATTATTAAATTTATGCTTCATCTTACATACCTATTATTAATCAAATTTCCGAAAATTATTTTTTCGATAATTAACAAATATTTAAAAAAATTAAAAAAAAACCCACTCCACTGTGTCAATAACAATCCACCCCCATTTGTCATAGTTGGTGATAATTTTGAAGCTCTTCTAGTTGTCATCACACTGCTAGCACCTGCCTTTACTGCTGAAACTTTTTTAGCAAAAGAGTAAGGGCAAAGTAAAGCTGCTATTCTTGTTCTAAATCTTCTAGAGAAGAGAGTATAAAGTAAAGGATTGCCTTTAAAATTAAAAATTATTTTTTAAAATAAATTTCAAGACTTACAAGCACTGCAAAGCATTGCTAGTGCATTCATTAACAAAATAAATTGATATGGAGGGTGAATTCTAACATTAAAAAGGCCTCTGAAAAAAAAACAAATATTTTTTAATTTAAATTTATTAAAAAATTTTTTTGGAATTTTTAAAGATTTTTTTTTGAATTTTAAGTAATTTGCTTCAGTTTTGTATTTTCACTTTTGTTTTATTTGCGTCAAGTTTATTTTTATTTATTCCAACTTTTTTGCTTCATTAAGTTTTATTTTTCAAGTTTTTGCTTCTCATATTTTTTATTTCTTACTGTACTTAAGTTTTAAGTTTATTTTTGCTTCAAGTTTATTTTTTCTTGTTTGTTTATTTTGCTATTTTTTCTGCTTCAAGTTTATTTTAATGCTATATTTATCTTGTTGCTTCAAGATCTCATTTTTATTTATTACAAAGCTTCAGTTTCATTTTTTACTTTCTTTTATTAAAATTCATGCCTTGATAAGAAAATAGCTTGTATAGGTGAATAACAAACAAAATAAACAGAAACACAAGCCACCAACATTTTAACTACATTTCTTCTAGTCCTTAAAGCTTCTTCTCTGGCTCCCAGCAAAGCTGCTGATGTGCTGCTTGTTCGACTAGCAGCTGAGCCGGGATCTGACAACCGAGGCTCATCTCTTGCTGAGAGTGATGTTTTTGTTTCTGGAACTAAAAAAATTTTTTTGTTAATTAAGAAAGGAATTTTTGTTTTTGCTTCAAGTTAAAGTCTTTTGTTTCAAGTTTAATTATTATAAGTTATTTTGCTTCAAGTTTATTTAGTATTTTAAGTTTATTTTTTTGCTTCAAGTTTATTTAGTATCTTAAGTTTATTTTGCTTCAAGTTTCATTTACCTTCATAAAGTTGTCTATTCTTCGCCCATAGAACAGCACAAATTTTAGAATAAAGAAAAAGGAATGCCAGACAAGGAAGCAAATAAAGAGTCAAAAATTCAAACCATTTATTCCAAAATTCTGAAGAAGCACGAACGTTAATACAAACTGACCCTAAAATAATTTTTTTGTAAAATTAAAAAAAATTATTAAAAAATTTTTTTACCGTCTGGACTAATTTTATTATGTAATACATATGGAACAGCAATTAAACAGGCAGTTAACCATATTGTAAAAATTGCTATGAGAATATTTGTACGTGAGCATAGGCGACGGGCGTGAATTGGAAAAACAATAGCAATATAACTGAAAATTAGGTTTTTGCTTCAAGTTTATCGTCAAGTTTATTTTTAATTTTGTTTCAAGTTTATTTTCTCAAAGTTTATTTTTTTCAAGACTTATAATTCAAGTTTATTTATCACCAAGTTTATGTTTCAAGTTTAATTTGTGCTTATGCTTCAAGTTTATTTTTTCAAGTTTATTTTCTGTTTGCTTCAACTTTATTTTTATTTAACTAACCGTTCAATGCAAACCATTAATTGTGTAAGAATTGACGTAAATAAAAAGACACACTCAAAATAGCGGACTAAAGGGCATAAATAATGCGGCAACCACGGAATCCATGTAGGAGAGCCTAATGCAATCGTGGGTGTCCATTCGAGTGAAGTTGTAGCTAAATTCAAGGCATCGGCAACAGCCTAAAGTTTAGGAGTATAAATTTGCTTCAAGTTTAATTTTCCAAGTTTATTTTTTTTGTTTTTCAAGTTTATTTTTCAAAAACTTATTTTCTCCAACTTATTCAAGTTTATTTTTCCCAAGTTTATTTAAGCCTACCAAATTAAGCAAAAGCAAATTCATCACACTTCTACGCATTTTTCGATCTCCTAAAATAGCAACAATAACTAAAGCATTTCCACACAGGCCAACAATTGTTAGCAGTGAAAAAAGGGAGCCGAAGACAAGGCGCCATAAGGGCGAAATCATTTTTTTTCGAATTTTTAATTAAATTTATTTAAATTTTTTGTTGTTAAAAAGGGAGTTTTAGGCTAAAAATCAGTAATTCTTTTTTAATTTACAAAAAGTTTATAAAAGCAATAATATTTAAAAATATTTAAAAAGTAAAGCAAATTTAAATTAAAAAATTAAATTTGTTGATTATTAAAGAAAATGTAAAAAAGCGAGGCAAAGAACTAAAACTGCGCCTCACTATAATATATCACAGATTAGATACATTTTACTTTAAGAAACGTTTGGGTTTGATATTGGATTGGGGATTTACCTAGATGATATTACCTCCTATAATAGCCGATCCTCCCTATAAAATAACCACTGGACATAGGAGGTATCACGTGGACAGGCTCCCTCCTCTATTTAATGTCAAGTCAAAAACGTATCTAAATTATTATTATTAGTTTAGGCTTGCTTCACTTTTTAGAATTTTTCAAAATTAAAGAAAAAATGATGCTCGGCAGTATTCCAGAATTTAAAACAAAATAAAAATTAAAAATTTTTAGAAAAATGAGACAAAAACTTAAAAGTTGAAATAAAAATGTACTTTTAGTTAACGTAGAATATAAAAGCAAAGAATTAAAATATAAAACTTTTTTTCAAACTTTTCAAGTTTATTTAAAAAAAGAATAAAGTTTCAACTTGTTTATTAAATTTTTAAAAGCGCTTTCCTTTCCTCATTTCACTCATATCATTTTCATAACTTGTTCCACATGATTTTTTTAAATTTTTTTTGATAGACAAGAAGCAAATATTTATAAAAAATATTTATTTAAATAAATTTATTTATTTAAAAAAAAGTTTTAATTTTATAGAAAAAAGTGTGGGGGAGGGGAGGGGGAAATTTGTTATTCAATACTTTCTAGGTACATAAATGAGGGGGGAGTAAATAAATAAATATTTTTTAAAAGGAAATTAATGTGAAAGTAAATAAATAGGAAAAAAATATTTTTTTAATAAAAATATTTTTGACAAATTATTTTTTAATTTTTAATATTTGCATAGGATTGATTAAAATAAATAGTAGGTTTGTTTTGGGTAAGAAAATAAAATTAAGTTTAGCTTCAGAAAAAGGTTTTAAGTAAAATTCAAGTTTAATAAGTTTATTTTAAAGTTTTAAATAGTTAGTTTATATTCCTAAATATATTTCAAGTTTATAATCAAGTTTATTTTCAAGTTTAATCTTGTATTACACCCAAACTTATTTTTAATTCAAGTTCATGCTTAATACTTTAAATTCTTTTAAGTTTAATCTTAAAACTTAGTTTGTTGTAAGTAAATATTGAAACAAGCTTGATAATAAACTTGAAACAAGCTTGACAATAACAAACAAAGTTTATTTTAAAATAAATAAAATATATATAAAATATAAAATAAAAGTTATAAAAGCTTCAAGTTTGTTTCCATTTCTAAAATGCTCATACTGGTAAAAACAATGACAACTATCCGCAGCTACAGATATTTTCAGGCATTTGAGTATGAGTTTTCTTCATAGTTGAAATGCTTGCTGCACAAAACTCAGACTCAAATTTATAAAAATATCTCTAGCTGCGGATAGTTGTCATTGTTTTTACCAGTATCAGACAAATTTATTTGCAACTTGAATTCTACTCTTATTTTAAATACATATTCCGAAATTTTTCAAGTTTGTAAGAATGCAAAATTTAATTATAAAACAAGGTTGAATGTCAAACTTTAAGTGTTTAATTCATTTTATATTAAAACCCACGCTTATTTATTTAGAATTTAAATTATCAGAATATAATAAGTTTTGTTGTATGTTTAAAAAATTAAAAATAAAAATAAATAAAAAATATTTTTTGCTTAATACAAAATGTTTCTAAATTTTATTTAAAATATTTTTTGATAAGCATTTAAAAATTAATTGTAATATTAATACCTAATTTAAATAAAATAAATAGTTTTTTGAAATTTATCTTTGTAGTTGCCAATTAAAAATAATTTTATATTTGTATTTTTATTTTTATTTTATTTTTAATTTATAAAAAAATTAATTTTATATTTATTTGTATAAGCTATAATTTCTTAATTAGGAAATATTTTTTAAATAAAAATTAAAAAAAATGGAAATAATTAAAATAAATTTGGATTTTTTAAATTGGATTATGAAATATAAATTTGGAAATAAATTGTATTTTTTTTATTTTTGGAAATAATAAAAACAAAAATAGCAAAATTGTGAACAAAAATTGTAAAATAATACAAACAAAAAATAATAAAGGAATACAAATATTTTTGAAAAACAAACTAAAATTTATTTTTTTGTTATTAAATATTGGTGCCTATTATTCAAAAATAGATTTGCTTATTTTATTAATTTAATTTGATTAATTTGAATTAATTTTAATTAAATTAATAAAATAAATTTAAATAGAAATAAAATAAAATTTTTATTAGAGAAATTTAATACCATATATGCTCTAATAATTACCCTGGGTAATTATTGTTTCAATATTTCACTGGAGGGGTAATTAATAGAGTATACGGTATTTGATATTATAGGAATTAAATAAAGATAATAATAATGAAGTTCCCAAAGTATATTCTCTAAAACTAAACAAAAAATATTTACAATTTATCAAATGTTGGTTAAAAAATATTTTTAAACAAAATTCTGGAAAATTCAAAATATTTATAAAAAATGATTTCACAAAGAGGAGGAATATGTATAAATATATATAAACTTATTAAAAATTTATTAAAAATAAAAAAATGTAAATTTATTTAATTAAATATTTAAACAAAAATAATGGATGGAAAAAATATTTTTTTTAAATTTTCACACGAATTTTGCTAATAATAGAAAATTGTATTTTATTTTTACAAAACTCATCCATTTTTTTATTTAATAAATATTTTATAATAAAAATGGAAAATTTTTTGAGATTATCTAAAAAGGAAATAAATAAATTTGATAAAAGAGGAAATTTCCTAGATATTACAATAAAAGGATTTTTTAATTAATTAAAAGAATTATTAATCAAGCAAAATATTCCTGGAATAAAAATGTTGCTAATTTACGAAAAAACGCAAACTTGAAAAACTTAAGTTTGTAATAAATAATAAGAATGAGTAATAATTAATAATAATATTAAGAAAAATACAAACTAGATATTTTTTCCGGAAAAGTTAATTTCCGGAAAGTTTATATTCTTAAATATATTTCCAGTTTATAATCAAGTTTATTTTCAAGTTTAATCTTATGATAAAACCAAGTTTATTTTTAATTCAAGTTCAAGCTTAATAATTTCAAGTTCAAGCTTAATTCTTTCAAGTTTTTAAGTTTAATCTTAAAACTTAGTGTATGTTATAAGTAATAAATACAAATTTCTTCATAAACTTAAGTTTACATTAAATTCAAGTTTATACTTAAAAGTTTAATTGATTTAACAAATTGAATTATTTAAATGTTTGTTAAAGTTTATTTAAATTTATTAAGTTTGTTAATAAAAGTTTACAGGTTAAAATAAAATTTAACAGACAGAGAAGAAAAAAATTGAAAATCACGTCAGTTGTTTATACAAATAATATTTTAAATATTTTAAAAAACTTTATAAACAAAATATTTCAGACTTTTCAGATATTTAATTAGTTTTTTTTGAATTTTTTATTAATAAAAATATAGGCATTTTGATATTTTTAAGTAGAGCCGGAACGAGGCGAGATTATCGAGGATCGGGGATCGGGATTTTTCAAGATATTGATCCCGATTCTCGTATGACTTTTGGGGACATAGGAGAATTTAACAGAATGAGCTTTAAAATTTTAGAAAAAAATTCTAAAAAATTGTCAATGACGCTAAAATTTTTTTCAATTTATAGAGAATTTTATTATCAATTATATGGTTTCAAGAATACCCATAACCAATTGTAAGCTAATTAAGTTATAACAGAATATGAACTGACTTGTTAATTAAATAGCATTAAATGTTTGAAGAGAAAATTGAAGAAAAAAAAATTTCGAGAAATATTTAAATAAATTAAATAATTAAATAAAAAAAAGAAGAAAAAATTATAACAAAGAATATAAATTAATTATATTTATTTTATTTACATTTTTATTTAAATTAATGTAAAGCCATATGGGAAATATTACAAGATAAAAGGAGAAAAAAAATTAATTCTTATACTAAATAAAAATGAGGAAGCCAAAAATATGTAAGAGTATAAACTTGAAATTAAATATAAAACAAAGAATTAATATAAAACTTTCCGGAAAATACATAATTAATTTGAGTGTTTCCGGAAGTTTTTTTTCAAGTTTGAAGTGTAAAGTTTATTTTTGACTTTAAAGTTTTTAAGCTTAATCTTAAATTTTCAAGTTTGATCTTAAATTTAAAAGTTTTTGACTTTAAAGTTTTTAAGTGTACTATATGTTTCAAGCTTGATCTTAAGTTGATTTAAAAGCTTTTGGTTTCAAGTTTATTTAAAAGCTTCAAGATTATATAATTAAATTTTAAATATTTTCTATTTCATTTATCCGAAGGTTTCGAAAATTAAATTTAATAAATAAAAAGTAATAAAAATTAATATTAAATACATGAAATGATAAGTAAAAATATTTTAAAAAATTAAGAACATTTTAATAATTTAATAAATTTTCTGATAGACAAATTTAATCTGAAAAATAATTAGTAATGAACAAGAATATTCAAAGAAATTATAAAAAATTAAAATTTAGTAAAAAATTCCGGGAAGTGTAGGATTTTCTGTAATACTCTGAAAACAAGGAAAACCCCATTTTATAAAGTTTCACACACCTACTCATTTTTGCTTCAAATTTATAAGTATTTTCTGGGATGTTTAAAATAAATATTAAATACATATAGTTTAAACTCGTATTTTAATTCCAACTTTTTAAGTGTTACGGTCAGGTTTAATTTAAGTTTATTTGAAATATTATTTTGTGTTTTCCGGAAAGTTTATTTAATCGAATAAGTTTCAAGTTTGTTTCAA